AATCTAATTGATTTCATTTGTGCTGAGTGAAAACTGATTAGGAAACAACCAGTTAAAGCGCGTATAAAATATATATATATATATATATATATATATATATATATATATATATATATACAGGCGCATATATATATATATACACACACGCGTATATATATATATTCTTGATCCTAATCATTCCAGTCAGTTCTATTAGTGTTGGATCATGGAACTGAATTAGGAAACCTAAAGTTAGTATGATATTTGTGGTAGAGGGCGTGTGTATATATATGCACATATAGCTAGACATATGTTTATTCTTCGTTCTTAAGGCTTAAGCCTAAATCTCTCACATACCATTCTCTTTCTCTCTCTCTTTCTCTTTCATCACCCAAACCCAATTACTATTTTCCAAGTCTCTTTCTTTAATCTTGTTTCTTCTTCAAACAATGGCGAAACAGTTCTTTATTGCTCCTAGTAGTCTATTCGATTTCTCTCCGACCACAAACATAACATCATCACTAGTTGTAGGCTTCAAAGATGAAGAAAAAAGTGCGAAACAATTCTTTAAAGCAGATAGTCTTTTTTCTCCGGTGAAAAACACAGCATCATCACTAGTTGCAAACTCGAAAGATCAAGAAAATAGTGCGAAGCGGTTCGCTCTTAGTCTTTTCACTCCGGTGAAAAACACAGCAGTTGGAGACTCGAAAGATGAAGAAAACAGTGGGGTTTCATTGGAAAAGATGAAAGTATTAATGGAGTCCAGTAGTAGTACTAGTTGCATCCCACAACCAAGAACCATGGAAGGACGTTGCATAACAAGAAAACCTGCAGAAAAGGTTTCAAAACCATCTTCCATTATTATAATCAAGAAAAGGAAGATGATGGGTGATAATAACCCATGTTGCTCTCTGGCTCCCAAACCCAAACAACAGAAGATTGTTTATACCAATGAAGGAGAAGAAGAAGAAGAAGAGATTACAAGGTTGAGGCTGTATGAAGAACCCTGGAAAATCAAGAAGATGATGGGTAATGATAATAACCCATGTTGCTCTTTGGCTCCCAAACCCAAACAACAGAAGATTGTTTATACCAATGAAGGTGAAGAAGAAGAAGAAGAGATTACAAGGTTGAGGCTGTATGATGAACCCTGGAAAATCAAGAAGATGATGGGTGATAATAATCCATGTTGCTCTTTGGCTCCCAAACCCAAACAACAGAAGCTTGTTTATATCAGTGAAGGAGGAGAAGAAGTGACAAAATTGAGGCTGTATGAAGAACCTTGGAAAATCAAGAAGATACTAACAAAAAGTGATGTGAATGCTTCATGTAGGCTCTTGTTATCTCAAGAATCAATCCACAAACATATAATCCCTCTGTTCAGCGCTAAACAAGCCACAGATTGTGGGAATGTAAATGGCACAAAGCTTAAGGTTTTTGACTTCGACACAAGGACTGAACATGAGTTGACGCTCAAGAGATGGAAGACAGACAGCTATTTGCTTACCAGTAACTGGATCAAAGAGTTCAAAAACAGGAGGAAGTTGCAGATGGGTGATGAGGTTGGCCTTTTCTGGAATCCATACCTTTCAAGACTCTATTTTTCCCTTCTCAAAAAGGCTGCCTAGTCACATGTGAATGCTTCATTGTAACATGGGTCTGCTATTAAATTTGTAATGACTTGAATTGTTTTATTATATGTTTTATGAATATGATTAATAATAAATCAGTCTTGAAAAGCTTTTAGTGTTTTTTTTATTGGTATGTTGATGTAATTATTACAGCAACTTCCTAAAAATTGATAGTGAGTACTGATCAGAGCAGTATGGAGGCAAGAAGCAACTTCCTAAAAATTATCACACCAGCTCTGGTGATAGTCTTCCATTGAGTAATACCAAGCCATTTGCTTCTTTAAGTGATTAGTACTAATTAATAATAAGTGACACATTAATATGGCAGCTTGGATAGGGATTATTCGCTTCAAGCTGTTCATAATTTCTTCATGTACTCCCTCAATTCTAAAATAATATATAGTCCCTTCTACATAGATTTTATGAAGGGAATATATATTTGGTGACATCTCAAAAGGTAGAGATCGAGGAGCAATTATGTTGGAATGAAGGGAGTGATTATAAAGCAAGTTTAGAACTAAAAAATCAGAAATTTTTACAATTACCACTTCAAAATCTGCCACTTATAAATTCCACATCAATTTGTATATTTTTGCCTTCTAACAATAAAACCAAGCACTCAATAATATAATAGAAATAAGTTCTTTTAGATAATAGAAACTAATAGTGAGTACTGAGAGCAGCTTGAAGCCAAGAAGCAAACTTCGTAAGAAATATCATAACCAACTTTTTTAATACATATATCACAGCAGCTCTGGCGATAGTCTTTCATTGAGTAATACCAAGCCATTTGATTCCTAAGTGATTAGTACTAATTAATAATAAGTGAGACATCAATATGGCAGTTTGGATAGGAATTATTCGATTCAAGCTGTTCATAATTTCTTCATGTAATCCCACCATTCTAAAATAATTGTCCCTTTTACATAGAGTTTACGAAAGGGAATATATGTTCAGTGACATCTCAAAAGGTAGGGATCGATGTGCAATTATTTTGGGATGGAGGGAGTAATTATAAAGCAAGTTTAGAACTAAAAAATCTGAATTTTTTACAATTACCATTCCAACATCTGCCACTTATAAATTCCACATCATTTTGTATATTTTGCCTTCTAGCAATAAAACCAAGCACTTAATAATATACTAATAGAGATAAGTTCTTTTAGATAATTTTAGAAGCAACAAAAAAGTCCATTCTTTCGCTAAACTTCTCTAAAACACACTGTTGATGTACAAATGTGGACAAAATTCTGTTTTCGGCAATTTCTGTATCTAGAATAAATAGAAAACGACCTACTCTTGCCTCTTCTTGTTTTTTTTTTTCATTTTTTTTTTTTCAAAAAGTTAAGCAAGTTATATAAGGAAATAGAATGTACAGATGGAGCCCAAAGGGGAAAGAAAGATACAAGACCAATAGGAGGTCCAACCCAACAGAACTATCCTAGCCCAAGAGGCTCAATAACCCAACAAGCCCATAGGCTCAATAACCTAGAAGTCAAACAACTGTAAGCTGTAATTGTAAGTTGTTCAACATCACCATCTCCGGTAAGCAAGCCATGACTGGCAACAGCAGCCTCACGACTGCTCCGGAGGCCCGTCTGGCGGGCGAGGAGGTGGACGGATGAAGGAAGAGGGTAGGCCCCAAACATTACGGGCACACCGAGCGGCCACCCCATCCTTGCCTTTTTCTTGCATGAAATCTATGAATTTCAAAGCCTAGCTTCAAATCTCCAATAAAGCATATATATGGATCAAACCAGAGTATATGGGCTGTTTGGTGTAGCACATACCTTGTTAAGGCTAGAAGTTTATGGGACATCAGAGCTCCAAAGCAGTCATCTTGGTGTTGGAAGAAATTGCTCCAGTTGAGGTGTCTTGCCGGGCCTCTCTCTGATCAGGAAAATGATTGGCGTCGGCAGAGGCACACTCTTTCTGGACTGACATCTGGTTTGGGACTCTTGTCAACATTCCCAAACACAAAATTATCCTGTGCCTGGCCATCCAACGTCTCGGCACATTTGATGAAAAGGCCATCTCCTACCTCTATTGGCCAAATGCATGCCCATTATGATTATCAGAACCAGAAAGCCACTTACACTTGTTTTTTGAGTGCCAATTCACATCTCCAATCTGGCACTATCTCCAATTGAAAATATGGATTCTTCATTTTCCCTGCAAACTGGTCATCCCTAATCGAATGGAGCTCCCATCATTGGAGAAAAGCATCAGCAACAGAGTATGGATGGAAAGGAATTCAAGGGTATTCAGAGGTGCTTCTTTGAAAACTCACCAATCTGCTCTCCTTTTGAATATAGCATACTGGGATGCTGCACTTGGGCTGGACCCAAGTCTAGTTACATCAGGTCCCTTTGTACATTTATTTTATTTTATTTTTTATTTTTATTTTTATTTTTATTTTTCATTGCGCATGTAATTCCTAGCACTCAGACCCATTCTATATCTTTACAATCTTATACTTCTATAAACTGGTTTGAACTTCCCACCAAAAAAAACAGCACATTGTGTTGCATTTTAAAATAAATTTTGCCTTCATCAAAGTTCCATACTTTTTCATTGAGCCTATAGTTCCTAGTTCTCTGACCCATTCTGCATCTTTACAGTCTTATACATACATAAACTTGTTTGAACTTCAAAAAATAAAAAAAAACAGCACATTGTGTTGCATTTGACGCTAAATTTTGCTTATATAAAATATCCATACTTTTTCATGAAGCTGACCTTTCAACTTCAAGTGAACTATATCCTATAACTCTTTGAACTCCTCTCTCATTTCTTAGGCTTCTAATCTTGTGGACATCATCCCATCCTCCCTTGCTTGCATAAGTAATTAATAATAGTAGCTTATAGTAACCTGCTGTTTTTGGATCCAATTCAACCATGCTCTCCTCTGCTGATTTCCCTATGTCAAACTTTCAATGTATCTTATTACAAGCACCGAAGAAGGCACCCCAAATGCTGATGTCTGGTTCCATCGGCATTTGCTTGATGAACTGAAAGGCTTTGTCGATGAAGCCTGCCCTCCCAATAAGATCAACCATAGTCAAAAAGTGCTCCATCTTTGGTTCAATTCCAAACTGTCCAACCATATAATCAAAGACTTTGTGGCCTTCGCTAACCATTCCGGTGTGACTACAAGAAGAAAGTACAAGAAGGAAACACGCACCATCAGGATCTATGCCTCTCTTCAACATCTGGAAGAAACTCATCAAAGCAGCTTCTCCATGCCCATGCATTCCCAAGCCATGAATGATGGCACTTGGTAACTGTAAGAAGTACTTGACAAGCTAAATCTAGTCTTCCACACTTCGAATACATGTTTATCAGGAGTGCTTCAGCAGAGACATCTGAACTGAACCCATTCTTCATAACTTAACCATGGATAGTTCCTCCTATTCGCAAGCTTGGTAAATCAGCACAAGCTTGGAGGGTAATCGATATGGTAACAGCAGTTGGCTCTACACCCTCTGTGTGCATCTTGCAGACCAAATTGAGCACCATAACTAACTGACCTTTTCTGCAATACCCATTAATCATCACATTCCAAGTTACTGCATCTTTATGATGAATCTTATGAAAAAGTTTCTGTGCAGAGTCTATCATCCCACATTTTGCATACAAATCCATGATAGCAGTTGATATAGTTGTCTCTGAAGAAGAACCCAATACAATAACATGAGCATGAACTGATTCTCCAATATGAATTGCTCCTAATAAACCACATACAGGAAGAACAATTTTCAGTGTCACTTTATCTAATCCAATCCTTTCGAATCTCATCAAACTACAGAGCTCCAATGCACTTTCTGGAAGACCATTCAATGCAAATCCTGAAACCATGCAATTCCAAGAGACCAAATTCCTTTTAGGCATTTCATCAAAAACATAATGGGCATATTTCAAAGCCCCAACTTTGGAGTACATGTCTATCAGTGAATTGGCGACAACATTGTGATCAAACCCGGATTTTATTATCCGGGTATGGACTAATTTGCCTTCATTGAAAGCAGTGAGAGCAGCACAGGCCTTAAGCACATATGGGTATGTGAAATGATCAGGTTTTGCATTGGAAAGCTGAAGAATGAAGTAAAGATCAAGTATTTGATCATGAAGTCCAACGTTGGACAGTTGTTTAAGCTTGTCATTTAGTAAATGAAGATGGGTTTCAAGGGAAAAATGAGAATAGTGAGGATTGACACAAAAGGTTGATGAGAAGATATTTGTGGTGATTGGTACTGGAAATAATGAGCACTACTCTTAGACTTCAATGTTAATCCAAGAGAAGAAGGAAGAAGAGGCTTCAACTTACCAACCAACTTTAGCATGGAAGTCGAATAGGAACAAAAACTAGAAGTAACTGTATATCCATGTGCATATTTCTATTTTTATATAAAAATAGTGTTTATATATATATATATTAACATTTGACTGAGATGGTTTTGGCATATAAACGGACTACCTAGTGGGGAAGATTAATTGTCATAAAAGTTAGAGATAGAGATAGTCACTAAAAATAAAATAGAATGACATTATTAAAAGAAACTTAATAAAGTTAGCTTATGATAAAAGAAGAGTAGAAACAGAGAATATTTGATGGGTTAAGGCGTATTAAATTGTGTGAATTTTGAAAAATATTTTGTTTGCTCTAATCACATATTAGTTCTTTTCAATAATTATATCTTGCAAATCTTAACAAAGTTTCAATTGAAGAATTGACATGTTTGCATATATTCTTTATTTTGTTTTAAATCAAAATAAATTTTGTGAATGATTTACTTTATAAATTTGAGTTTTTGCTAGGTTACTACAAAATAATTTTAATATAGTTAAGATAATTAAAATTAATTTTAATTACGGTAAAATAAAGCTTACGTCGTCTTAGTATTTGCTAATGCCTCATTATTTAATGTACACACAAATAATGGGGAGAGTATTATGGTGTGGAATAATAGACTTTTATGATTTCTTTGAACATTTATAGTTGATAACTGCTTATTGGAAGATTAAAAAATAAATTACAAGATTTCACTTGGTGGTGAAAACTGAAAATTCACTGATTTCATTAGAGAGTAAATGTCTGTCATATTCTATTTTATTACTTTAAATAGTGATTTTTTTTATTTTTTTGTGCTTTTTGTTTAAATTTACTAGTAAAATAGTAGTAGAATTTTACAACAAGGGCAATAAAATGTTAAAAGTAAAATTATAGGGAAATTTGCATGACTAAGAAAGTACACCAGAGAGGGTTTGACTTTTGGTCCTGCAAAATTAGCCCAACTCAAAATGGAATGAGAGTTTTTTTTTTTTTTTTTTTTTTTTTTTAATTCAATTCGAGTAATAAAATCCAAATTGCTTATCAACTGTGTAACACCCCCATACCTTGTCCGTCAACCACGTATCATGAAAAGCCACGTGGTATTACCGATGATGGATAATAAAACCCGCACACCGTCCCTCCCTCCACAGCCGTTCTCCTCCTCTATCGTCCCGCTCATCATCCTCTCACTGTTTCTCACTCTAGAAAACTGTTAAACACACTCTACCTTCATAACACACATAGTCACACAGTAAAGTTTCACAGAGCTAATCAAATCCATTAATCTCAATGCGTTCCATCACCATTTGGCGGTTTTGATTTTGATTTCACAGTAATGGACGGTCTTGCTCTCACCACTATTACAATCAAACCCTCAATTGTTCGACCCGTTGTTTCTTCGTTTGAACCCAGAGCAAGAACTGCAAGAAACTACTTTTTTGTTGCTCGAAAACCCAAATTTCTCGTTTTCGCCTCCAAAGACGAACCTAAGCTCGATCAATGGGAGCTGATGGAGCTCAAGTTTGGCCGATTGATCGGCGAAGACCCCAAGCTCACCCTAGCCAAGGTTCCCTCTCTTTATATATATATATTTAATATACACATATTGTGTAGATAAATATGGGTTTGTAATGTTTGATTATATATGTGGGTGTGACGTGCCATTTGTGACTATATAGGTATATGATGTATTAATCCATCGCTGTTTTAAATATAGCTGATTTTTTTTTTTTTTTTTTTTTTTGGTAATATTCTGTTTGGTTGCTAATTGAACTGAGAAAAATGAATGTTACAATTTTCAATTTGAGTTATTCAAAGTTTGAAACCTGATAAAAGAAACAATTTTCAGTAATACCCCTCCCTCCCTCTCTCTCTTTCTATATATATACAAATGCATTATGTATCATAAAAGTGGGCGTGTTGTGTTTCATTATATATATATGTCAGTGTGTCATGTTTGATTATAGATATGTGGGTGAGTCATGTGTGATTGTATATGTATATTATGTAAATTTGTCTCAGTTTTCAATATACCCTATTTTTCTTAATAGTCCATTTAGTTGCTAAACGAAGTGAGATGAAGAAAATAGATGCAACATTCTTCAATTTTGAGTTGTTCATTGGCTAGAGCACCAAGGAAAGAAACATTCTCTCTCTCCATATATATACACACACACATATATTTATAAAAAATGTGGATGTGTCATGTTTGATTATATATGTGGGTCTGTCTCTGTCACGTGTGATTATATTGTACTCTGTCTTGCATGTCCGCGATTGAAGTGAGTGGAAGAGAATGAATGAAATATTTTTCAATTTTAAGTTATTGACAGTTGGGAACCTAAGAAAGGATGCCTCTGCTGATCTAATTCAAATATTTGGATTAGTAAAGGTTATAATTTTGAAATTTGGAAAGTAAACAATGTACAACATTAGGTTTAAAATTTTATTTTCTTACAATTTTCTATTGTTTATTTAGCAACCAATCAGATGGTATGTCATTGGTTTACTGCTTGTGGTTATTTATATTAGTTTGAATGTTTTATATTAAGCATTGGAATTCTTTGAATGCTTCAGATAATGGGTAGAAAATCGAATCCGGATTTGTCTTACCTGGAAATTGAGAAATCATTTAACAAGAAGAAGGGTAAAGCAGTAAATGAAGTAGAAGAGGTTCCATTTGATGGATCTATTCCCAAGGAAGGGCAGTCATCAAATTCACCAAATGATTTGAACTTAGTTCGGTCTGTGCCTAAGAGAGGAGTCAAAATTGAAGCTAACAATAGGCCAATTCCCAAGGAAGGACACTCATCAACTTCACCAAACGGGTTGAACTTAGTCCGGCCTGTGCCTAAGAGAGGAGTCAAATTTGAAGCTAACAATAGGCCAATAGTATCAAAGGATTCAAAGGTAAAGAAACCGAGCCAACCAGTAGGAAAGACGGTAGATAATACTAGAAGTAGCATTCCTAATGTTATTTTGCGGAAACCAAGTACATTTACTGATGATGATATTGGGACTGAGAAATCATCAAGGTTGAGAATAAAACCAAATTTGTCTTTTAGAATGGGGAAAGAACAGATGAAGGAAAGTTTTAGTGATGTTACATTATTAAAGAAGCCCGAACTGATAAGTAACAACTCAAGTGTTGATAATGACCAGGAGCCTTCTGGGGATGCCAAAGCCAAAGTTTATGAAGGTATTGAAGGGAATAATTTGAAAAGTCCATCTCTAGTTAATGAAACAACTAAAGATGTTACACTTGTAGACAAACCTGAACGATTAAATCTCGATTTGAAGATCAATCAAGAACAAGAATCTTCTGGTGATCTTATTGGGTCAAGCTGTGGTGATGATCTCAAAGAGAATAATTCGGAAGTTGTACACTCATCGGAAGTTAATTCAACAAGGATCAACTATGATGAATCACTGGAAGTTGGGGATGCTTCAGTCTCAGGGACCCTAAGCGGGAGGATCACTCTGCAACAGGTAATGTATTACATTGCAGATAAGTTTTCTGAAATTGGAACTTTGCAGTTTAATATTGTCCTTGTTTGTTCAAGGATTACAGCCACTTGAGCAGAGTGATATGCTGTTTGCTGAGAAAAGAACTTCCGATAATGAACCTTCAGAGGCAATACTATTGGATTCTAATATCACACTCTCCGTGGAAGCTGCATTGCAAGGGAAACCCATGAGGTGGGCCAACTTCTCTTAACTTGTATATTTTTTGTTCTATTGCTTCTAGGTTTGGTTGTTTAATTGGTTGTTATGTTATAGATTAGATCAATCTGTAAAGGGAGCTTCCAATTTTATTAGAGAGGAGCCTGTTACTGTGAATCCTGAAACTTATGGCAATGCTGTTGAGCTTGACAATATCCTCGCAACGTCACCCATAAAGGTCTGATTAATTTATTTCTAGTCCCTTGTATGGTTGAGCGATATAATAGGATGGTCTGAATTTCGTGTTGAAACTGTAGGAACATGAAGATACTGATTGGACAAGAGCTGAAGATCTGTTTGAGAGAGGAGGAAGAGAAGAAGTGGAACTGATAAGCTCAAGTACCAGAGGATTTGTTGTGAGTACTAGTTATTAGTTAAACAGGCTTAGATGCACGCTCTCTCTTCCTATGCTTTATTGAAATTTTAATTTTGATCTTATTTATCTAAATTTCTTCTCATATTTACAGGTATCTTTTGGCTCTTTGATAGGATTTTTACCATATCGTAAGCTCGCTGCCAGGTGGAAGTTCTTAGCTTTTGAGTCTTGGTTGAGAAGAAAAGGCTTAGACCCCTCTATGTACAAGCAAAATTTAGGCATTATTGGCAGCTCTGAGGTTGCGAACAAGGCTTCTACTCTTGATTCAAGCCTAATTCCCGAAACTGATCAAAAAGTTGAGACAGAAATTTCACCGGACATGAAATTGGAAGATCTTCTTAGGATTTATGACCTAGAAAAACTGAAATTCTTGTCATCCTTCGTTGGTCAGGTTTGAATATCTTGATTTTGATACAATAATTTTTATCAGTTTAATAAAAAATATTAATAACTCTTTTGGTTGCAGAAAATGAAGGTGAATGTGGTGTTGGTTGATAGAAAGTCTAGAAGGCTAATACTTTCTATGAAGCCGAAGGAAAAAGAAGAATCAGTTGAGAAAAAGCGAAGTCTTATGGTAGGAAACTGTTTTCCATGTTATACTTATCTTTAAATGCTTATTGATTGCTCTTCATGGTGAAACATCTATAATTTCGGCTTAAGCAACAAATTTCATTTCTCTAGCTACCAAAAAAAAGTAAGAAACATAATTCATTTCTGTGATCAAATTTAAAGGGTTCAATGTTTAGTTTTAGCAACACTGATGAAATCTGTCTACTTTGTATGAAGAGTAGAGGAAAGGCATAGCATCTTTTGAACATATTGGATGATTTTATCTACAATTTAGATATACATAGAGGTAATATCCATAAAGGTAGAGTTTTCTGGTTGAAGCAATATTGAATCTCATATTCATTAATAAAATGCTTACAAAAACAAGCAGCAAAAAAAGCCCATTTCCAACTACTTGGGGTCAGCTACATCTTTTCTCCACTCTTCGTAGATTACATGCTTGTTAAGTCAAATTTAAATCAATATATCGATTTTAGTACTATTTGCAGTTTGCTTACTTTCTTTTCCCAGGGCTAGTAGAGTTCATTTTTTCCCAAGAATCAAAGATTCAATCTTTTTTTTATCACCCCCATAATATTTATAATATACTAAAATTAATTTCTGAAATAAAAGCACAGCCTTTTTTGGTACTTATACAATATTATCACGAGGTTTTCTCATATTCTAGATAACAAAATTTCATAATTTTTTTTTTCGAAGTTACTTGTCCATTTAAGATAACAAATTAATGGTTTAAAGCTTTTCTTTCTTTTTCTTTTTCTGTATTTTCTTTTGGGTGCAGGCCAAACTTAGCATTGGGGATGTAGTAAAATGTTGCATCAAAAAGATTACTTACTTTGGTATTTTTGTTGAGGTATATCAGCAGTTTGCTTCTAATTTTACTTAGAAAACGGGCATATAAATAGAGAGTTTTGATCTCATGGTAAGAGCTCCTTAAATAAAGAGCTGTGAATCCCATAAATACTTCAAAATGATTAGCTTCCTCCTTTATGAGATCTTCTATTTCATGGATTCACAGCTTCTTGTTGTGGAACCAATACCATGAGATCATCACTACATCAGCAGATTATTGTTTATCACATTTGACCTAAATATCCTAATTTAGGTTGAAGGAGTACCTGCTCTGATTCACCAGACGGAAGTTTCATGGGATGCCACTTTGGATCTTGCATCATATTTCAAAATTGGTCAGGTATTTGAGTTAGTAGCGTATTACTATGTATAACAACAGCAATTGTTTTTCTACAACACTGACATTGTCCTCAACAATTACGACGAATTTGACCAGGTAAAAGCTATAGACATGTGTCTGTTATATATTGGATGTGTCCACGATTTAAAAATAGAAGATCTCAATTTCAAACGCATGACTGTCTTGGACATTGGATGAGATTTTCTTTTAGTATGGAAAAAGTTATAGTCGTAAGAGAAAATCACATCAAAGGTTTTATCCAAGGAGTACATGCGAGAGTAATTATGTATGTATACATATCTACACATACATCTCCACATACAGTCACAAAAAAGGTCATATTGTTGCTATGCCTTTCTTTATGTGGCAAGAATGATTTTGATTATAAATTTATGGTTATAGATTTCATGACACTCAGAAAAATATTATATATACTTATCATGAATTAACGTGGTGTATAAAATATTTTTTTATATAACAATGTTTATTTTATTACCAAGTTTTTGCATGTCCATTATCTATTTTATTAAGATTGGTAAAGTCGAATCATGTCCCATTTCCGTGTCCTTACTTCAGAACTAAATTTTGTCCAAGTTCTTAAGAAAAGATCTTTTGGTTGCAGATTGTGGAGGCAAAAGTTCACCAATTGGATTTTTCACTTGAACGCATTTTCCTATCACTAAAGGACATAACGGTAACTTATGTCTACTTCTCTTAATATTTAAATTCCTTTTGTAGATTTAAGGAATTTTTTTAATGTTATCGAGATGCTGTATGTTGTATTTATCTTTTTCTCTGCAGCCAGATCCACTAAATGAGGCCCTGGAAGCTGTAATTGGTGATAATGATTTCTTATTTGGGAGATTAGAAGCAGCCCAAGCAGATACTGAGGTTTCTGTTTTGACCCTATGAGCAGGATAATATTTTTCCTTTTGTAGCACCTTGGTTGTATAAACATGCGTCTGCTTGTTTGGTTTAATAGAGGAAAGGAGGAAAAGCTTGTTTCATAAATTTGCCGTTATACGATTACATTATGCTGCGTTTGGTGTGCAAGAATGGAATGGAATGCCCATTCCATCCATTCCTTTGATTGTTATGCAATTTAAAGTGGGAATGGCCATTCCATTAAAAGTAACTTGGTAAAATTGGCGTACTAAATTTGAGAGCCTGACTATCATTATATACAAGAGGAAAATTACAAATATGGAAAAGAGAATAAAATCAAATCTAAATAAAGAGAATAAAATCAAATCAGAATAAAAATAAAATTCCTAAACATTAGCCTATAATGAAGACCCAATAAATCTGCCACAATCATTGAGTCAACTTATAGATATGATTTCCAACATTCCCCCTCAAGCTGGAGCAAATATGTTGACCAAGCCCAGCTTGACTATAGAAGACTGGAGAAGAGAAGGCCCAACAGACTTTGTGAACACATCTGTAGTCTGTTCTGAAGAGGGAATAAAAACAGGATTAATGATATCTGATCGAACCTTCTCTCGAATAAAGTGAATGTCTACCTCAATATGTTTCGACCTTTCATGTAAAACAGAATCGGAAGCAAGCATAATGGCTTATTTATTGTCACAAAACAGCCTCGAAAAACCTTTTTCTACAACACCCAACTCTCCCAAAATTGATTGAAGCCAAAGGAGCTCACAAGTACCTTGAGCCATAGCTCGGTATTCAGCTTCAGCAGAGGATCTGGAGACAACAACTTGCTTCTTACTCTTCCATGATATGAGATGATTACCATAGAAAGTACAGAAGCCAGAAGTAGAACGTCTATCTGTCTTACATCCAGCATAGTCTGCATCAGTAAAGCATGAGAGTCCAGACTGATTTCCTGAGGCATAGAACAGACCAAGACCAGGGCACGACTTAAGATACCTCAAAATATGGTGGACTGCATCCATATGAGCTGAGTGAGGGGCATGCATGAATTGACTAACCACACTAACAGCAAATGTCAAATCGGGCCTTGTGTTAGTCAAGTAGATAAGACGACCTACTAACGTCGATATATGGATGGATCTGGAAGTAATTCCCCCGACTCAACAAAGAGTTTGAGATTGGGGTCCATAAGAGTAGAAGCAGGTCGACACCCAAGCATGCTAGTATCTTGAAGAAGATCCAAAATATATTTCCTTTGAGATAAAGAAATTCCACGACGGGATCTAACAACCTCAATTCTAAGAAAATATCGAAGAGGACCTAAGTCCTTCACATCAAAGGACTTTTTGAAGATGAAGTTTCGCCTGAGCAATCCCTAAAGCATCATCACCTGTGATAATGATATCATCCACATATACTAATAACATACTGCAGCGACCATCATAGCGACGTCGAATAAAGCAAGTATGGTCTAAGTGGCAGCGCACAAAGCCCATGGATAGAACAACATCGCTAAAACGACTAAACCAAGCTCTAGGAGATTGCTTCAGACCATAAAGAGACTTCCGCAGCCGACAGACTTTCCCAGCATACTCCCCTTCAACCCAAAATCCAGGGGTTGGATCCATATATATAGTCTCAAGTAAGTCTCTATTAAGAAATGCATTCTTGACATCTAACTGATGCAAAGGTCAAAAATAGGCCGCAGACAAGGAGATAAGAAGTCGCACAGACGTCAACTTTATCACAGGAGCAAAGGTAGCACCAAAGTCTTTGCCCAAAATCTGAGTAAAGTCTTTTGCCACCAACCGAGCCTTATACCGATCAATAGAACCATCGGCTAAGTACCTCACATTACAGACCCATTTGCAGCCAACCGTTTTCTCCCCAGCAGGTAAAGCAACATGTTCCCATGTATTATTATGTTGTAAAGCATCCATTTCTATTGTCATGGCAGACACCCAATTGGGATCCTGGAGAGCCTCTGACACTGATTGAGGAATAACGGTCCCAATCTTGTTCTGGAAGGATTTATATGCACCTGAAAGACCATCATAGGAGACATACTCGGAAATAGGGTGGTTAGTGTTACAAGAGAAACCATACCAATTAGGAGGGTGACGATCACGGGTAGGATAACGAGAGGTATGCTCAAGAATGGTAGGAGCCATAGGAGAAGGAGAGTTACCTGGACCTGGTTCTGAAGATGATTCTGGCAGGGGAGGTTGATTGCGATGGCGACGAGAGTAGACATGCAAAGGTGGAGGGGAACCCTGCATGGATGGAGAAGGAGGTTCCAGAACAGTGTGATTTTCAAAGAGAGGAACAGGACGGGCAATAGGAGAAATCTCCTTCTCCAGACCACAAGAGAGAGAATCCTGTACCACATAATTAGTACTATAAAAAGGAACAGTTTCATGAAATGTCACATCAAGAGAATGATACATATGTTTGGCCACAGGATCATAACAACGATAGCCCTTTGACATAGCAGAATACCCCAAGAAAATACACTTAATTGATTTAGCATCAAGTTTATAACGAGAAGGACTACGATTATGAACAAAACAAGTACAGCCAAAAACACAAGGCAGAAGGTGAAACAATGTATAATTAGGCTGGAGAATCTGAAATGGGGCCTTACCACCCAAAACTCGACTGGGAGTACGATTAATCAGAAAAGCAACTATAAGAACAGCCATGTGCCAATAGAATTTAGGCACATGCATACCACTCAGAAGACATCGGACCACAGACATAAGATGACGATTTTTGCGTTCAACCACGCCATTTTGCTCAGGAGTGTAGGGGCAAGTGAGTTGATGTAAAATCCCCTTTTTATTAAGTTCAGTCCGAAACTCATTTGAAACATATTCACGTCCATTATCAGAACGAATATTACGGACAACAGTGTTATACTGGGTTTTGATCATTTGAAGAAACTGGGTAAATAAAAAAAACACATTAGATTTCTTTTTCAATAAATAAACCCAAGTACAACGAGAATAATCATCAATAAATGTCACATAATATCGATGTCCAGAGAAAGCAGTAACTGGGGAAAGGCCCCAGACATCAGAATAAATAAGATCAAACATACTAGGAGCACGACTCATATGAGAAATATAGCTAGTTCTAGTATGTTTAGAAAGCTCACAAACTTCACATTGAAACTTATGGTTCTTACATGCTTTATTTAACGAAGGAAACAATAGACATAGATACTGAAAGTTTACATGCCCCAAACGTGCATGCCATAGACTAAAAATGCGAAAAGAAACATCATAAACACTAGAAGTAGGTAGGACAGAAGCTTGAAGACTCGTTCCTGGTGGTTCCCCAAAGTAGTAAAGCCCATCACGCTCATAACCCCTGCCAAAATTCCTCTTCGAACAAAGGTCCTGCAACAAACATTGATCTGGTAAGAATATAACTGCACATTGGAGGTTTTTTGCAAGTCGGCTAACAGATAAAAGGTTAAAGGCAAATTTAGGTACATGAAGGACAGATGAAAGGGTAATATCAGGAGACAAACAAATATCAACCTTACTGTGAATGTAAGATGTAGAGCCATTCGCAAGATACACAGATTGGGTAATAGGTATGACATTAGAAGAAAAAACTGATAACTCACCAGTTATGTGATCATTGGCCCCAGAATCCAGAACCTAAGTGGGCTACTTGGGCTTAACATGAAATGTAGTAGGAGTACCTGTAGCAATTGTGGGAGTGGGAGCAGCTGCAGGAGCACCGACTCTAGAAGCAAGGGAGCCAAGCTGGTCCTGGATCTGCCCAATTTGAGACTGAAGCTGGCTCAGTCCAGGAAATACAGTAGATCCACCAGTAGTAACAGGAGTCTCTGCAACAGCCGCAATACGAGAAGAACCAGTTCTATATAAACGGTTCCTAGAAATTTTTTGCTTCAGTTCAGGATGAAGTTTGAAGCAACGAGCCTTAACATGTCCAACCCTCCACAATGATGACAAATAATCTGACCTCCAGAAGCATGTGATCCAAAGTTGGCTACAAAAGCCATACTATCCTAAGCAGGCTCAGACACTAGTAGAGGAACAAGCGAGGGCTGAATTAAACGGTGCCTGTGTGCTTTACCATCAACAGTTGCAAAGGCTTCCAACAGGGATGGCATTGGTGATGCATTTAAGATCTGAGACTTTTGTGGTTCAAATTTTGGGCGTAATCCCATAAAAAACTGATAGGTATGCTGACGATCAAGACGTTTGACAAGAAGAGAGGCTGCCTTGGAAGGAAATTCACTAAGAGAATCATATTGAGTTAGTTCCTCTCAACGAGATCTCAAATACCCAAAGTAATCAGTTACAGACAAATTCAGGCCTTCCTGTTAGCAATATCTTGGTATAATTCAAAAATACGAGCATCATTCCTAGAATGAGCATACATTTGATTCAAAGCAGTCCACAAGTCATTCACAAAGTCATAAAACATGAATATATTATAAATGGGTTCCTCCATAGAATTAAACATCCATCCTAAAATGGTGCAATTGTCCATATCCCACTGAGCATATTTACGATCTTTAATATCTGGCATCTTTTCAGTACCCAAAATCCACCCTGATTTGCCTTTTCCACCCACATAGAGGCGAAGGGAACGAGCCCAGGATGCAAAATTACGGCCATTCAACAGCACACTAGTAACTCGTTGAGCCGGTGTGTGTTGCGCCGAAAAGAGAGTTTCTTTGTTATTACTTGATTCAGCTATAATATTAAATAGAATAATTCAACAAATCACTAATAATTTCAAATAAAGGAAGAATAAACCTGATTTTGATCAAACCAAGAAGCCGGAGACACGGCGGTCTGATTCGAAAATGCTGCCGAATATCCCGGCAGCCCCAAAAAATTACAAACACGTCTTCTGACCCTTAGTGTATGAAAAAGACTAAGGGAATACCCCTACAGGGGTCAAACCTAGAGGAGATTGGCTCCCCCTAGGATTGTCACAACAGATGCCTAAAGAAGAGAGAGGGTCTGTGAAGAAAAGGGAAAAAGAAATAGGGAAGGGGCTGTGACGAGATAGAGAGAAAGATCAAAAGAGGCGGTGAAAGAAAGAGAGAGGGGGGAGGCGTAGGTTTGAGGCTCTGATACCAAAAAGTAACTTGGTAAAATTGGCGTACTCAATTTGAGAGCCTAACTATCATTATATACAAGAGGAAAATTACAAATATAGAAAAGAGAATAAAATCAAATCTGAATAAAGAGAATAAAATAAAATTAGAATAAAAATAAAATCCCTAAACATTAGCTTATAATGAAGACCAAATAAATCTGCCACAATCATTGAGTCAACTTATAGATATGATTTCCAACACCATTGGAATGAAAATCCATTCCACAACTAAACCTTTGGGTAGAAAGGATATCTTGGTGTGGTGGACAAAATGTTTTTGGGGGGGTTTTGGTTCCTCCTCTCCTCCCACTTTTGGGTGGAAAGGATATCATGGGCTCGGAAGGGTTTTCCCTTCTCCTTTTACCAAACCCTGAAATTCCTATTGATTCCTCCCCTTTTGTTTGCCCTGCTTTTCTTATTTGCACTCTTCTCTTTTACCAAACTGACCATGACTAATTGTTTGTTTAGGAGCTTAGGAAAGAAAAGGATGAAAAGGACTGTGTCTATCTTAGAGAGGAAATGAGAAGAAAAATAAAAGAACTCCTTCCCTTTGTTGGGAGTTTTAGGAGGGAAAAATAAAGTAAAGGACAGTAACCTTCCATTCCTTGTATAGAGGTTAATAATAAGAAAAAGGTATATTCTAAGTTTTAGCGCTCCAGTTTATATAAATGATGCCAAATTGAAAGGAAAGAAGATAGGAGGGATGCAAGAAGTATCCCCAGGAAAAGGAATGGGCCTTTCCCTCTTATTACGTGGTTGAGTAGGAAGGAAATGAAGAAAGTAGGGGATATTGCACGATTTGACCATTATACCTTGGTTAGTTTGGAGGGGGAAAAAAAAAGGACCTAAGTACAAGGGTAAAGAAGCTAAAAGGAGAGGTAAGAGGGTTCCTTACTTTCCTCTGCCCACTTTTGGGAGGAAGCAACATGGTGGGTCTGGAGAAAGATGGAAGCCCCCTCCATTTCTTTCCAGAAGCCTTTCCCCTTTTTCCTAGCTAAGGAAATTTCCTCCTCCTCCTCCTTTGCCTACTCACTTATTCCCTCCATTCCTTCTGCTACCAAACACCCTGCAGCTGCAAGTGAAAAAAGGAGTGAAATTGAAAACGGCCAGATATAAAAAGGAAGGGTAAGACAGGCTTTTCCTAACTCACTTTTCTTCCATTTCATTTTCTCCCTCTTTTTGGAGGAAGCACAAGTGGGACTGGAGGAGATTCTTCATCCCTCCATTTCCTTTTGTCTCTCCTTGGCTTAAAACTCCCAAATGTGGAATGACCAACATCCTCTCCCTTCCCTCTCTTATCCTGTTCTTCCTCCATAATCTTTCATTTAAATGAGGTTGAAGGTTTTGTTAGTAGACGTGTGATGATATTGGTTTATTCTGGTAAATTATTTAGATGCATTTGTACATTTCTCAAATTGTTGCGTTAGGGCTTCTGGCTCGTTTTTGTGGAGGGAAATGGGTTTTAAATTGTTTTGGTACGGTATAAATTTCATGTACTTTAAACCAAGTTGAAATGGCATTTTGGGGAACTCAATTGGAGGTCGCATCTAACCAGAGAAATTTGGATGAGTTGATTCCTTTTGTGGAGGACTTTTTTCTTTAATACGTGGTGCATTATCAAATTGGGGCTCAATTTCATTCTATGTGCTTGTATATGTGTCAGTATGGTGAAATCCTCACATTTTGGATTTGATATTCGACAGTGGACAGAAGTGGAGTCTCTTATTGAAGAACTACAGCAGTTTGAAGGGATCCAATCTGTATCAAAAGGCCATCTTTTCTTGAGCCCTGGTTTGGCTCCAACTTTTCAGGTACATGCACTCTGATTCTAGATTCAACTAAGAGGATGTTGGAGTTTTTACAAGCATTTTGTCAAACTTGCTAGCATTCTGTTGTATAGAGCGATGACACTCTTTCTTACCATTTATTTTAGGGAAAGAATTAGAAATGTCTTAAATGGAAAGTAAATCATGTGCATTACACATATGATGCTGGGCATGGAGTTGATTCTGTCATTTGACTAACTGTCTTTTGGAATTTCATGTTGCTAATTAAACAAATTCGATGATCACATCATGTTTCTATAACTTTGTTGGTAATATTGGAAATGTAAGTTTTTACTTTCGTAAAATCAATTTGGTTCTAACCCTAGTTCTTTTAAATTTTCACTTTTACATGTTCTTTCTCAAATACCGGTTGGAGTTGTGGGATTTAAACTTTGTATTTTTCATTTACCATTAATGTTCACTGTTGAACATTTTAGTACATGCTACCCTTTGGTTTGGAACCTCTTATGTTACCTGTTCATGTGGGTTGAAGAAAATGTGGAGAGAACAATGATTGTTGATCTTTTCCCTTTTTATGCTAAACTTAAGTAATATTCTATTTTATAGCTCACATAGAATGGTGTGCGTTCCTTGTCAGACTCAAGTTAAACTGCTTCTAATCAATCTTCTGGCAGGTTTACATGGTATCCATGTTTGAAGATCAATACAAGTTACTTGCTCGATCAGGAAACAGAGCACAAGAGGTAAAAGTTTAAGAATCCTACTAGCTTTGGCCTGAATTTCCTTAACTGAGTTATAATAGCTCTTGTACGTGGTTGAGATGTTCAGTGATAACTGATCATCCTAATGAATACAGTAATTAAATTAGCTAAGTTATTGAGCCTCAATATGATTTGAATAATTATTCTGCTAGTCTGTTCCATGTGTTATTTTCACTCAAGATGTTACTGTGTATATACATTGTTATGCTTGAGCCCTCAACTTTTACCTCTTTAGAAGTTATTCAAATTGAAGCTGGTCTTAAATGAAACCATTTATGATTTAATGTAATACTTGCAGTTTATAATTTTTTTTTTTGCGTTTTTGATTTGTTTAAGTAATGCTCACTGTATTTTTTAGTGGCTTGATTGCAGTTAGTGTCTGACTTTCTGTCTCAGATAGAACTTACTAGTATGCATTTTATGATATTGTTGGCCACAATTTTTAGAAAGAAATGCACCCATCATTTGGGGGATGGACTTTTCCATTGTTTTTCTTTTTTCATAGCAAGGGTTCTTCTCAGTGTGTGTGTGTGTATTGGGTGGGCTTATTTTTTGATCTTCATGGTTTTGGTAGTCATTGTAGATTTCTTAATTACAATGAATCTGGAAAAGAATCTAATGAATGCTAATGTATGCATCATTTTCACAGGTTATAGTTCAAACATCTTTGGATAAAGAAGAGATGAAGTCTGCAATTCTAACATGCACCAACAGAGTTTGATAACTGTCTTTACTCGGTTTTTGTCTATGTCCTTCATGCACCTAATTGACTGAGTTGGATGGTGATCCATGTTGCAGTCTTGAGACTGCAGGTCTGATCTTGACAGACCACTTTGGAAAGAGAGATTCTTCTTCGTTTTCTTCTATACATAAATTATCTTTTCATTTCAGTCAGAAACTTACACAAAATTGTTTATATTGTTGGCGAAACTTCCTACGACGTAACTATGAATTGTTTCATATCTTTGGTAGTTGTATAATTATAAAAACAGTTTGATTGATGAATGCCATTTTAATTTTGAGTCTTTCAACTACTGGATGGATTTTCGGGTGTGATTTGTTGATTTTTGACTGAGATAGTTGGGATACTTTGACGGTTATTATTGGTGTTGCAATTCATTAGCAGAATGGGAATGCGCTTACTAACCTGGGAGTGGGCATATTTGTGTACCAATTATACCCCTTGGAGTTTTCCCATCAGCTCCCTGTACTTACTGTGAGGGACATCAGCTTTGAAATGCATGTTACCCAACTAGAAGATTTATGAGAACCCATCTCTATTGAATGTTTCTTAAAAGATGTCATGTATGTCTTGTTTAATTTAGAAGTTCTATATGTGGTATTGCTTGATAGTCAAATCTAAAGTGAATTTTATCACCGAAGAGCTCAATGGTTGGCCACTTGGTGTATCAATTTGCATTCGGATGCTAGGATGTGTTTTTCGCTATCCCGCATCTATTTTTTCGTTCCTTTTACTAAACGAAGTATAAAGTTAAAAAAAATTATTAAAACTTTTTTAAAATAGAAATAAAGCCGGCAAGATTTAAACATAAATAGCATACTAATCTCTTCAAAATGGATTAAAGCGAAGTACCTAACAAAATCTCTTAAATTTAAATGAGTTTGGTACAAATACATATTTTGTTTTCTCATATCATAAAGGTTACTTTTGTATTTTTCTTTGCATTTTTTCTTCAAAATCAGCGTATTTGTTTACCTTTATAGGTTTGAATACAATTTTAACTAGGAGAGGGTAACGCCATTTGTAATTTCACATATTTATTTTTCAAAGGTAACCCACACTCCTACTAGTTTGTGACTTTTGTTTAGAATTTAGTTCGGAATACTAGAATCGATTTAATGATTTTTTTTAAAATATTCTTCCATCCAAAGCTCACTAAACAAACACATAAAGGCATACATATATTAGGCGTATGCTCCCTCGTAATAAACACACAAAAATCACACATACATATCTATTAACGTGAGCGACAGAGAGTTTATAACATTTGGTTTCTTGTTAGGGAGCAAATAAACTTTCAGCCTTTTTATATAGGTTAAATGCACAATCTAGAGCCTAATGGAATTCTAGAATTGAATACTCAAATACTACAAACGAATATTTATCAAGCTGTCAAGTGTAGAATGTTCTAAAATGGTAGAACTATGTAGATAGCCACGTCAACATGGGCCCTTCCAAATTTATTTTTTTAATTTTATAATTTACTTTATAGGTAACTTATTGATGGTTAGTTTGAAAAATCTTATTTATGGGTTTCTTAATAATGTTTAATGTTAATTTTACATGTTCTGCAATTCAATGATACATTTTTATTTAAAAATAAATAAATCCAAATATGGTGAAATAAAAAGTAATTTCACTGCAATGGTACTCGTGCCAGTTGCCACAGATGCTACATTTAAATATTTATACATGTGTGTATATATATATATATATACACGCACATATATACACATAACATCTATTATTCATATGAATTCTTTGGTTGATCTATGCATCATTGGATGTATTAACTTACTTACCTCAAAAAGGAAAAAAAGAAGAAAAAAAGAAAGAAGAAGAAGACACCACATTAAATATCTAATTTATGTATTGATTATTGGATAAACTAACTACATTTAAACCCTGGTTTGTAGTGTATTGCAGTTGTTTTAAAATTTCTTTTTCAAATATTTATGCATGTGAGTGTGTGTGTATATATATATATAATATCTATTATTCATATGAATTCAATGGTTATTGGTTGATGTATGCAAGTAACTTTCTTACCTCAACCCAAAAAAAAAAATCTTTAACTTTCTATTGAATATTGAATAAACTATATTTAACTTGATTTATAACGTATTGCGGTTAAAAAAAAAACCCAACTAACTGGTTACTTTTTGAATTATTGTCAAAAATACCCCAGCAAGTCAAGGGATTTATGTAATTCGCCTAATTATGTGAAATTAGTTAAAAAATTCTATTTTTTTTTCTTTCTTGAATAATAATAATATTTATATTTATATTTTTTGTTACATGTAATACCATTTTTAATTAAAGAAAAATATCAAAAAAAAAAAAAAAAATTCATAATTATGAGTGCAACTACATATAAGTTCAAACCTTACACATAATGTTTTATTTTATACAATGTGTATATATGAGATGGGCATTTGATCAAACAACTAGATTGACAAAAATGAATTTTAATTACGAAAAGTAATAAAATGGCATATATATATATATATTGTAGGATTTAATTATGTTAGACACATATATATTTTTTATTGGCAACTATGTTAGGCAGACGCTGAAGAAAAAAAAAAAAGTAGTTGTACTCATAATTATATTTTGAGTGCTTTCAATTGTTGAACTTGACTAAAAACAAGAAGCAGAAGAGGAGGAGAAAAATGAGAGAACTTTGGAGAGAAAGTAGAGCTTTGGATTGCAATTTTTATTGAGAGTATTTTGAAATGTAACTCGGAAAATAAATCGAGTTAAGTTTGATAATTTTTTTGAGTGCTTTTAATTGTTGAACTTGACTGTTATGCTAATTAGTATCCTAAGTCTAACGATCAAGCTATTTAAACTCAAATTAAGATTGTGGCCTGAATAAAAATTTGCACAAGATAATGATTACAACAAGGTCTATTTAAAATTTAGTTTGATCAATTCAGAGCTTGACGTTAGCACCGTGAAGTTTCTTTTTTTGAAAAAATATTATGTATTAGACTTGATAATCTCATACAAAAATGGTATTACTCGCAATAACAATTGTTGTAATTGTTGTTATTTGTGACAGTTGTGATTATCGCTAACAAGAATTATGATTCAAATGAGTTGCAAGTTTACAAGGCACAATGAGATAGCTAGGTTTATAGAAGGTTGCAAATACTATAATTAGTGGACTTGAATCCTCTTATGGCAACAATTTTCATACATGGACTATTACGTCATGGCAGTAACATCACTAACTTTCATGTAATCTAGTAAGGTGAGGAGGGTGTGATGGTCAATTCTTAATTAAGAAATTGATAATCTATAACACCCTCTAAGAGCTCACAAGTCAAAACCAATTTAAATAGCCGTAGATGCACAGTTGAAATATGTGAACGTTACTCCTAAATTGTAAACCTAGTAGTAATTAATAGGTTTTTATAGGTAGGCGTGCATTAAATCGATCAAATTAAGTTATTAACTCCTTGATGTGGTGATAGACCAGCATTGTTGGGTAGTACTTGCCGCACATTAAATAATCTCATGATTCCCACCACACACTAAAGACATGGCACGGTTAGTAGTTACAGCTTAGATTCACTGTCTTAAAGGGACACTCTTGTCCTCGGACAAGCCGAGTCACGACGGTCAACGTACTTTGACCAGTGACATAGATATGAAATGCATAAGATTTGTGTACTACTATCTATTTTATACATAGATATAAAAATGCTTATTATCAATTTAATAATTTTATAGTGTTAAATTTTTTGATGCCAGAGTGTTACATATTCAAACTCCCAATAAATGTGTCGTGTCTTACAAATATTTACATTAACGTTGTACGAGTGTTGCCTTAATTTTAAGTTTAGAATGCACGGAACCTCCATTAAACCACTGGAAATGCGAACCAAGTGGGGCCTGCATTGCATATGCCGATAATACCCTCACTTATCTAACGTTATTCCAGCACCCAAGTCAAGCCCTTTTTCTTTGTGCTGTTTATAGCTTCTTTTTCCTTGCAGTGACAGTGCTTCATCTTCACGCCCCCAGGAATTTCTGACACCACTTAACGTCTCTCTCTCTGTCTCTGAAATTCTTTGAGAGATCAAAGTAGAAAGAAAGGATGAGTACAGGAACAAGCACTTTTGTAATCAGATGGATTAACTTTCTCACCATGGTATCTACCCTTTTCAGTCACTACTCTTTTTTTCATTCCCCTGTTGATTATCTTGATTCTCATATACATTGTTAAATGACACATGTATATATATATTGTATGCTCTTTTCTCTTAATGTTGCTAACCAGTCCCTAATTCTGCTTTTGGGCATCAATGTCTCTTAGGATTGTCACTATATATATGTGTGTGTGTGTGTGTGTGTGTGTATATTTGGTTTAAAAGTGATATTATTTTGAATTTGGGTGCAAACTCCTCTTGGTGGGATATGTTGATATGCTTTTCTTATGATTGATTTTTCATATCTTTATATTTAGTTCATTAACTATGTAGCTGCAAAATGTAATTTCTGCTTAGCTTATTCTTAAATCCCCTATGCTGTTTATGAAAATATATGGGTACTTTTAGCTTATTTATATGTAATAGAAACTAATTAACCACTAATTGGAGAAAGAATGAGGAAGACACTTGTATTGTTTTGATTTTAGTTGGTATATGCTGACTTCAGCTCTTCATTGTGTAGCTCCTAGCACTAGTTGTCATAGGTTTTGGGGTATGGATGAGCACTCATCACGACGGCTGTCGAAAATCTCTCACTCTCCCTGTTCTAGGCCTTGGTGCTTTTGTGTTTCTAGTGTAAGCTTTCAACTTCTTTCGTTCTTGTATAAAGTCCTTAATTTACAGATTCTAATGCTTTCCATTTACTTATATTGTTCCTTAAATAGTTTTAGTGACACACTTTGTTGAATTTTTAGATCAATAATTGGGTTTTTGGGTGCATTGAAGAAGAACTCCATATTGTTATGGATGGTATCCTTTGCAAATGAATTTGTGATAGAAATGAATTCTATGCTGTCCTATATATATATTTTTTTTGATAAGTATATGCTGTCCTATTTTCTCAATGATTCCTTATCTTTTCCTCTGTCTTGGAATTTCCCTAACTTCTGATTTGCAGTATCTGATCATGTTATGCTTCATTTTGGTGGCAATCTTGGTCTTCACAGTCTTGGCGTAAGTATTTCTGGTGTGGATTTTGAAGTTATTTTTCTTTTTTAAATTTTGTCCATACATATTATAGGCTCTCTACAATAAATTTTTTGTTCTTGGAATTTTGTATCGTTTTTACATCACAATTTTGTTGTTTCTTACCAACAAAGCTTTGTTGTTTTTTCTTACCTACCAAAAAAACTTTGTTGTTTCTTCTATGAAGTGAAGTTCCATTTTTTTTTAAAGTAATTTCTCAACTGCCATAACCAATATATGGATTTAAAAACTAATAAACTTTTAAATGTTCATATGCCTCGCTGTCAGGCACGGATCTGTGAAGGGTGCCCCCACTGAAATTTTTTATTATTACATTTTATACCCTTAAATTTATACTTTTTTGTATATATACCCATAAAATTTTGAAATTGCCCCCCCACTGAAATTATGAAAAAACCCCTCTATATAAATTTGCTCCCCCTCATATGAATTCCTAGATCCGTCCCTGCTCGCTGTCAATTTTTTTAAAAAACTTTACTCGAGGTGAATGCTTTGAGTTCTGCAATGTCAAGTTTGTCCACCAACTAAGGATAATTTGTACCGTGCTTTTCACAACTTTACTTGTCAAAAAAAAAAAAATTTATATCATGCTTTTTGTCATTCTACAATTCTTGATGGTATGATTTATGGAACACCTCAAACCGTTTTCCTCTATATTTCCTGTTTTTCAGCAATTGCTGCTCGTTTTCTGTTTTTAGATAGTCTGTAGATTGTATTCAGTTCAAAAAAAATCATCGAGTATTTTGAGTTCTTAGACTGCACTATAGTAAGGGAATGCAAACTGTAATTTTTTTGTTCATTAGCACAATTGACTTCCTATGGCACCAATATATGATGCTGTGGCACAGGTGATAAATTATAAAAACGACACTGGGACAAGCAAAAAAGAATAAATAGGGAAAACTTCTTATTCTCAGTAAGGATAAAGGAGAACTTGAGAAGTGTCAATATGTATTATATGTGGTAGAGTAATAAGGATATCCCAATTACTTGACATGGTATATTCTCAGTAAGGATAAAGGAGGACTTGAGAAGTATCAATATGTATTATATGTGGTAGAGTAATAAGGATTTCCCAATTACTTGACATGGTATATTCAAACGAGATGACTAGTAAAGGGATGTAGATTGGTGAGAGAGGTTTGATAGTTGGAACATTTTAATCCAACAAAGATCCTTTAGGAAATTGTCTTATTATGGCTGTAAGAGGCTGCATTGTTGTTGGTGCTGTTCAATTTTTAGGTCCTGCATGCTGTTGGAATTTCATGATTTATGTATTGAAAACGATATAATGGTTTAACAATTTGGTAAGAAGCTTGTGTCAGTATGCAACAACTGTCTTTGGGTAGTGACGCTTATTAAGTAAGAGGAACCTTGCTCAAGTTATTTTCTAACTTGTCAGAACTGTCTTCTCTTTTATTTATTTATTTATTTAAATCTGTAGATCTTTTAACATATTAGTTTGTGATTATCGAGGGCTTCAAATTTAACTGCTACATTCAACTGGTTGAGCTGACACTGCAGTTCCGTATTTGCCCCAAACGTGTTGGATCAGTTTGCATTAACTCTTCCTTTCCTACTAACCTGGCAATACTTCAGAGAAATTTTAATAAATCTTGACTATACATTCGACCTAGCAAGAGTGTGAATGGATTTTTAATTGAAAATATTTCCTTGTACAGAAACCTATTATCATGTCCTTATGCTAAGTTTTTCCTTTGTTGATTGAAAGTTCTGAGGTAGGCCCTTTTTTATTTTTTATTTTTTTTAATATTACAATTTATACTTTTTTCCCAGTAACTTGCATGTGAACTGAGCCTCTGGAAATAATGTGTTTTAAGGGTTAGTGAGGGATAATGTGTAACTAAGAGGATATTGTTGTGTTTCTGGCAATAAATGCTAATCGGGAATGGCACTGGAAAGTAAAATGTAAAATGGTTTAAAATAAAGATTTCCAATTCCAGTTAGCATGTTACAGAAATGAAGCAACGAAATGATTAAAAGAGAGAAAAACTATGGTCTAAAAAATGTAGTTCCTTTGAACCTTATTGACATTGATTAAACCATACATAAGCCGTTTATATGATCAACAAATCGAAAGTAAAAAGGGATAGCCCAGTGTACGAGGCTCCCTCCATTGCGGGATCTAGGGAGGGTCCGATGTACACAGCCTTACCTCTGCATGGAGAGGCTGTTTCTGGATTCAAACATGTGACTAGGTCAAAATGGAGCAACCTTACCGTTGCTCCAAGGCCCACCCTCATCAACAAATCGAAAGTAGCTTCAATTATTTGACAAACAGGAAACATCAATCTCTATTGTAAACTTTTGGAGATAATAAATTTATCTACTTTTGAAATTTATTCACTGATTTAAGGTAGACTTATCTGTTCCCCAGATCCTGATTTAGGCAATACGGTAAGAACCAATATGGTCTGCATTATTAGAAATACTCAATGCCAATTCTAAATGGGATCATATCATGCTATCACTTCAAACCACTCAATTTCTCACACTTTGCTTTGTCATTAACTCCTCTATGCTTTCTAATCCTCTATAATCTCTCTTTGTTATATTTTTTTTCTTCCTGTTTTGGCTTTGGCGTTGATGGTTAATTGAAGCAATGTGAATGTGGTACTCCCTTCGAATTCAGCATATATGATGATGCTTTGTTTCTTGTCTTATGTTTATAGGTTTATCATAACAAATAATGGATCTGGTAATAAAGTAGCTGGTCTGAGGTGAGATCACGTGATTTTTCTGATAACATCGTAATTGTTATCCCTCATTTTTTAGGTGTAAGTATGATTATTTGCGTTACTCCTTTGAAACCAATTTGATTCTTAAAGGAAGGAAAATAAGAATGGAAAACAGAAACAAAGATATATCTTAAAGCATCTGTGTGTGCACGCCCCCTTATAAGTTGCTTGCCTCCTCTTTAAATAACTCATTTCAAATCTTTTCCAATTAAGGATAAAATGCACTAAATTAATAAATAATAACAGAATTTGTCTTACTTTTTACTATTCTATTATATATGTATTTTTTGCTGGGTGAGCTGGAACTGGCTTAAACAGTAGCCATATTAATCCATGTCTGATCAGGTACAAGGAGTATCAACTTCAAGATTACAGCTCATGGTTCCTAAAACAGGTAAATTTTTTCTATAAATTTATTATCAATCTCGAGTATCACCACGAAACTATCATTTGTTTTCTTTTGTCTTGCTCCTTTGCTCCAGCTAAACAATACCCGCAACTGGAAGGAGTTGGAGAGTTGTCTCGTAAAGTCTGATGATTGCAATAACTTGTCCAAAAAGTACAAGGTGCACCTTTCAACTTCAACTTCTAGTGTCCATCTGTTCCTTGTGACATCAACACCACGTTTGCACCTCTTTGTTGCAGACTCTTAAACAATACAAATCGGCGAAACTAACCCCCATTGAGGCTGGTTGTTGTCGACCACCATCTGAGTAGGTGTTCTTTTCTTCCTTGTTTTTTATATTTTTATTTGTTTATTCCAATATCTCTCAAATCTGTCAAGGTTTATGCTTAATTAAAGGATATTTCCTTTCTTTCTATTCAATGGTCAGACACTCGGACATCATTCATTGAATTTAATAGGTTCATATATATACATATATTTATATAAGTTGCAGTCAACTAATTATACTCACATATTAGATATAAAAAAAAAAAAAAAAAAAAAAGGGTAATTTCTTTACATTTATTTAAACTTATGAATAGTTCATGTAACTCTCACTTTTCTTCTTTTCTGGGATTCAACCCATTTCTTAGGTGTGGTTATCCTGCCGTTAATGCGTCATACTATGACCTGAGCTTTCATCCGATCAGTTCCAACAAGGACTGCAAACGCTACAAAAATTCGAAGGCAGTCAAGTGCTATCATTGTGATTCTTGCAAGTAAATATTATCGCTTTCCCACTTTCTCCTCCATCGCCTCATTTTAGTTCAAACTTGTATTGCCCTTTTCCTTACTCGTACCATGTTTCTAGGGCTGGAGTTGCACAATACATGAAAACTGAATGGAGGGTGGTTGCAATCTTCAACATGGTTCTGTTTGTTGTCTTGGTAAGACACCCCCTCCCATCTATTTTATGGTGATTATTAAACCATCCTCTATAACCAATGACTGATGGATGGTGGTTGCAATCCTTCATTTAAAAAATTGATATTCTGCTGACGGCGAGGCCTCCAAGCAGCTCTCGACATGAACATTGGATATATGGTTTTATGTACTAAAGTTCTTCAGATATTCTGAGGAAAAGATCTGACAAATTTAGATCCTTCCACTATTGTTATCTTAAAATTTTCACATTCTCAAGAATGTTTACTCTATCCTGACTTTCATCTGGTGTGATTCAGTCGATAGTCTACTTCGTGGGCTGCTGTGCCAGACGAAATGCTTCAAGGAGCCAATCTAAAGTCTGAAAAGGATCAATCTTTCTTCAAAATTATCTCCCGTGAAGGAAATTCAATCTTATTCTTTAAGAACTTTGATTCATATATTCACTTGGTTGATTGTTGGTTTTCAATTTGTCAACTGAACGAACAGGTGGATTGAGTGTTTTTGTTTCAAATGCTGATCAAAGTTTGTTCCTTGTGGCTTACTATTTGAAGCAGTGACAATTATGTAAATGATTTTTATTTATTTATTATTATTTTTATTTTATGGAAGCAAATGATGTTGAGTTGGAACAACATTTTTATACTTGTTAAAACAAATCAAATTCGAAAAGCTAGTAACTTTGCTCATTGGTCTACAATGAACGTGTCATCTATTTTTCTGCTATATAATTTCAATATCAACTTTGTGCTCAAGCTTGAGCTACAAAATGAGCTTGAGCTTAAAATTGATTCAACAAGCAAAAAGAATGAATCACAAAAACTTGTCTCGAGTCGAATCATGTTGAAATTCGAGTTTGATCAATTGAGTTGAGTTCCAAAGACCAGGTCTCGAGGTTTGGTTTAATTACAACCCTAATTTTAATATAATAGTAGAGTGCGTAATTCAATTATATATTTTTACAAGAAAAATGTTAATATTTAATTACAGGTTCGAGTTATATAATATGAGCCAAAAATTAAAGAAATGCAAGAATAGAAATGAAATTTGTTTGAGGCTACATTTGGTGGCATGAAATTGAAATTGGTGTAATTCTGATTCCAAGACTTTAATTACATGCGCCAAACACATCTGAATGGAAACTAGGAGTAAAAAATCACTTGTTTGGATGGAAAGGGAGGTCAAGAAGTGAAAATCCTTTTCTTTCCTTACATGGCAATATATGACTGGTTCTTGTACCACACTGGGACAAACTCACTCACACAACGTCACAACCCCCCATTTTCAATCTGAATATCCTAAAACCCTAAACCCTCTCCTGCTCCTTGAACCCTAAACCCCAACTGTAACTCCTCTAAACCAAACCCACTCAACTCTCCCAGTCATCTCCAAATTCCAAACCATGTACTCATCCATTCTTTTTCTTCGAGAACGTTCGAGAACCTTCCAGAACCTTCTCTACACCCTCACCTTCGTCCGCTCCATGGGCGGCGGACCTCGTACCTTCCCCGGCGGCCTCAACAAATGGCAGTGGAAGAGACTCCATGAGAAGAAAGCTAGAGAGAAAGAGAAAAAGCTTATCGATCAAGAGAAACAGCTCTACCAGGCCCGAGTTCGATCCCAAATCCGGGCTAAAGTCGCCGGACAATCTGATAACAACCCACGATCGGATCCAAACCCATCGAACTACAGTCCCATGACCTCCGATGACCATATCAAAGCCCTAGCCGATCGGTTCATGAAGGAGGGAGCGGAAGATTTGTGGAACGAAGCCGACGGACCGATCAAATCTCCACCGTCGAATCAAAATAACCGATCAGTTGGGCCGCCAGTTGATTTGAGGAAGCCAATTTCGGATAGAAGACCGCCAGTTGATTTGAGGAAGCTAATTTCGGATAGAAGGAATTTAACGGATGGTGAAAAAATTGTGAATTCGACAAATTTCAATAATTCTTCAAGGCCTAGGCATTATTCTGTTGATACTCGGAGCCGAACAAGGTCGAGGTTCAATTTTCGGAGAAATGAGAGTTCCAGCGAGGATGATTTGTCGGATGATGATAATGATGATGAGGAGGAGGAGGAAATGGGTGGCAGGGATAATGTGAAGCAGAGGATGAGTAGTGCTGCATTGGGGAAGTATGATTCGATCAAAAAAAGGCGAGTGCCATTGAAGTTCTTAGAAGAGGAGGTGGATTTCTCGCAGCAAGTTGTCGCGATTAGGCATGAGCTTAACAAGAGGAAATTTAATCAAAATGTGGTGGAAAAAAGTGAAGAGGAAACAATTCTTAGTCAAAAAAGGTATACATATCAATTGTGTGTGTTTGCCCATTTCAATCTTAACATAATCAATTTTGAGATGTATAAGTTATGTTACAATTGAAATTGGTTGTAGATGTATAATTATAGACTTTAGGTGCTTCATTTTTTTTTTTTTGCGAATTGATATGGTACTTTTGGTAATTTCGTGAATCTCTCTTTTCAGATTTGAGGATTGTAATATATCTCCATTGACAGTCAAAGCACTTACTGAAGCTGGCTATGTGCAAATGACCGTGGTACAAGAGGCTACACTTTCTGCTTGCCTTGATGGTATATGAACTGCCAACTACCTGAATTTTTCTTGAAGATATGCCCAAAAAGAAAAAGAAAAAAACAAAAAAAGAAAAATGATTCTTGGTCATCTCTATTGCTTATTCACTATTCATTTGAATCTCCATATACAGCAGTTGTACATCTTATCCATTGCAATATAATTTCACCATTCACATCATTATCAACACTATGTTTTCGTGCTTGATAGTTTGGGTCAGTGAAACTTTATATGCATGAAACAATGCTTCAGCAGTTAAACAAAAATATTGAGTGGTGTCACTAAATTGACAACTTGACTGCCTGAGTTCTAATAATTAGCAATAACTTTTGATTTTATAAATGGGAATTTTATTTTATTTTTAGAAAAACAAGATTCATGTCATCTGATGGTCGGGAAAATAGAATGCAATATAACATTTATGGAACCTGTTGTATCCCATTGACTCCAACTGTATCCATTTGCACAAGTCACAACACCTAAAATCAGTCTGATCTCATCCAAAGGACTGGAACTACTCTCCACTGTGATCTGTATGACTCAGTTCTACTTTTGTGTAGTACTTGTCAACTCAAGCATCGATGTTGACACATGTGATGAAATGTGATCCTCTGTCTAGCATTTTACTTTGGGGAAAATAAGAAGAAGAATAAGGAAGAGCGGAGGGGTGCACATATAGTCTCTGCCTGTTGAGTGAATGTTAAAATAATTAACAGGGGAGGGGGAAATGAAGAAGAGGAGGGAGGGCCGCAGTTGTAGTCTCTGTCTGTTGAAGAAGAACATGAAGAAGAGGGAAGAGGAGGGGCACACATGTTGTTTCCATAATTCTATTATTTCATTTAATATACTGGAATTCTTTGAATATGCCTTGTGCTCCTCTAGTTTCTTAGGAGTTCTTCAAAGATGCCTTGTGCTCTATTTTCTTAATGACCATGACTCCAATATATTTTGACCTCCTTATATTTTTGAAAAGTCAATTTATAATATTCTTTATCATGGCAATTACCTGAAATTGGACCTTCATGCATTTTTGCTAAAATTGTACTTTTGTCACCCTCTCTCTATGTGTATGATATTTCGAAGAACAAAATTACTCCATGCCCCAGGAGTTACGCCTTCCTACCCCTTTCATGTGGCAGGTGGTCATTGGCCAATGGCTTGGTACTTCAGTCTTTTATGAAATGTTTGGCATAATTTTCAGCATTTACTTGTTTCGTGTCATGATCGCATACTTATTTTCTACCTATTTATTACATTCTTAAAACTCCTACCTAAGATCATTCCTTATTTATATATAAAGATGATATGATTTGTTAAATATAAGCATTGCAAATAATAATTGATGGTTATAATTTTTTGTATGCAACAGGTAAGGATGCTTTGGTCAAAGCTAGAACTGGCACAGGCAAAACTGCTGCTTTTTTGGTACATCACTAGTGCTTTAAGTTCTTGTAGATAGTTGTGCTATTATATTCTCTCTTTAAATGCTGTTGTAAAAACACAAACAGCTTCCTGCAATTGAAACAGTTCTGAAGCCTTCAAATAGCAACAGAGTTCGACGTGTGCAACCAATATATGTTCTTGTTCTCTGCCCCACTAGAGAACTTGCAAGTCAGATAGCCGCAGAAGCAAATGTTATGCTAAAGTATCATGATGGAATTGGTGTCCAGACACTAGTTGGAGGTACACGATTCAAGGTCGATCAGAAGCGCCTGGAATCAGACCCATGCCAGGTATACCTATGTGTTCTTCCTGTTCACATCTATAGTGGCTTTACACAAGAATCTGACATGTTCCCATTGTTTCTTGTTACATAGATGCACAAAGCATACCAAATTCTTCTTATCTTATATACAACCCTTTTTTTTTTTGATAAGTTATCTTATATACAACTTTTGTGCAGATTATAGTTGCAACGCCTGGTAGATTGTTGGATCACATTGAGAACAAGTCTGGCTTCTCTGCACGTTTGATGGGATTGAAAATGCTTATACTTGATGAAGCAGATCACTTGCTAGATCTGGGATTTCGGAAGGACATGGAGAAAATTGTTGATTGTGTTCCCCGTCAGCGGCAGTCCTTGTTACTTTCTGCTACAATTCCAAAGGAGGTTAAAAATTGTCCATCATTCCTTCATTGTTTGAAAAGCAATTCTTTTAAGTGGTATAAATTAAGTAATTGTGAACTTGCAGGTTCGCCGAATATCTCAGCTTGTATTGAAGAAGGAACATACCTATATTGATACAGTGGGGTTGGGTGGTTTGGAAACTCATACTAAGGTATAGATTAGTGACAAGTTTAAACTCATACTAACGTATAGATTAGTGACAAGTTTGGTTGGAGGCAAAATTTATTCTCGGTTTTATGCATAGCTGATATACACGATATATCTGAATTATTGTAGTTGCTTTTTGTTGTAATGTTTCAGAATCCTCTAATTAAATCTGAAGAAATCATATACAATTTTTTTGACGCTGCTTCAATACTCATCTTTGGCTTTGTCCAATGCAGGTTAAGCAGTCTTATCTTGTTGCACCACATGAACTGCATTTTCAAACAGTGCATCATCTTTTAAAGGAGCATATTTCACAAGTGCTTGATTACAAGGTGAGATCTTGTGTCATTTGGATTTGTTATGTATGTATTAGTTTTGGCTTATCTAATATGGTTTTAATAATGATCTCAGGTTATTGTTTTCTGTACGACTGCAACAGTGACGTCTCTCATATTTCTCCTTCTCAAGGAGATGAAAATGAATGTCAGGGAGATACATTCTAGAAAACCTCAACTATATCGTACTCGTATTTCTGATGAATTCAGGGAATCAAAACGATTGATTCTTATTTCATCTGACGTTTCAGCTCGTGGAATGAATTATCCTGATGTAACTTTGGTCATTCAGGTATCGGTTAAACTAAAGATGATCTTTCATTAATCTTCTGCATATGAATTAATCCTTGGAAAATTTTCTAAACGTACTAGTAACACATGCATTGCTGAATGATGTCTATTAGTTCTGTTTTTGCTTTGCTTATGTGAAGAAATTTGTATATCAGTACTGATGCACCAACGCTGGTATACATGTTCTAAATGATGATTATTTTTATTTTATTTTTTAAAAAAAAAAAAAAATCATGTCCTAAATGATTTTTCCGGAGGTATTTGAACATCGAATTGATCCAATTATCACATTTAGTTTTGTATTATTTATGTTTTTGCTTTGCTTATGTGAACAAAATGGTAGATATATAGGTTCTAAATGATTTTCCCGGGTCGAGTGGATCCAATTATTGCATTTAGTTTTGCATATTGGTTGAACAAGGTTTTAAAATGAGATATATCATTATATTTATTGGCCCACGTGGTTTGTGGTAGTGATGATATGTCCTTGTCATTTAAAAATCCTAATTGCTATGGAAAATAGAAATATACATTAGAAATGTTTGTGAACGAATGTTAAGAACAACAATTACTCTAATTTAAATGCATAAGAAAGAAGAAACATAATACAACTACTGAGTACATGGTAAAATATGGGAAGCTGAAACCAGAAACCCCCACTGTCTCTGTTTCTATCTTTCACATGGAATGCAAGAATCACTTTTGCAGTTACCTTTTGTAAATCCAGAACCATGGTTATTTCTCTGGTTTTAAGCATACATGTATCATAGACTTAATATATCTGAAAATTCATTTCTTCATGTGTCCAGTTCTTGGTGTTATTAGAAGACATTCTTATTTATTTGTGTGTGAACTACCTTACAACTATAAAATTTTGGTATTGCTAGGTGGGTATTCCCTCTGATCGTGAACATTATATACATCGTCTTGGAAGGACTGGACGGGAAGGCAAAGACGGGGAAGGCATCTTGTTGCTTGCACCATGGGAAGAATATTTCATGGATGAAATACAAGGACTCCCTTTAGAGAGATTACCTAAACCACATTTAGATCCTGACATGGACGCAAAGGTTTGCATCTGACTCATTTATAACAACTGATCGTAATTACTTGATTTAAAAACACATGTAAAACCGAATCTAATACACCCTCAAAAGGTGAAAATGAGATATCGGTGGCTAATGTACTGAAATTTGAAGAGGCTTGTCCATGTGATGGTAGTATGGTACAAGCTGCTGCACCAATTGTTTCAGTTTTGCTGGTTGTGTTAATTGTTAAAACTGTTGAACAGATGCAGGATATCCAGTGCTTGCCGTTATATTTTAGCGTACCTTGGTTTCACATAGTTAACTGGGAAAAATAATAAAACCACTTATCTATAACATGTGAGATCTATTTTGATTTGCAGATGGGGGATTCGTTGTCAAAGATTGATAGCAGTGTCAAAGAAGCAGCTTATCATGCTTGGCTTGGCTACTACAACTCGATCGGGGAAATTGGCAGAGACAAAACCACACTTGTTGAGCTGGCCAATCGATTTGCCGAGTCAATTGGTTTACAAAAACCTCCTGCACTATTCAGAAAGACGGCGCTGAAAATGGGCTTGAAAGATATTCCTGGCATTCGGATCCGAAAATAGCACTGGTTTTGAATGTCACTTTTTTGTAGAAGATATGTCTTGTGCAATGCTCACATTTGAAGGGTGGCTGGTTTTCAGAAATTTCAATGTCTTGTGCAATCTTCATAGTGCCATGTTTCAAACTTATAGTGCCATGTTTCAAACTTACTATATCCTAAGATGTGGCCTCTAAATGGAAAGTATAGCCCTATAAATGAAGAATGATAAGACGCGCTCAGGGAGGATTGTGAATTTTAAAATTGGGTTCAAGAGAATTAAACAGACAAGCTCTATAAAAAGTTGAATGACATTTATCAAGAACAAATGAAAATAAAACCAAACCAAGGAAATAGGAATTGCTAATTTGCGCTATTAATCTCCCGGATCTTGTAAATAAAAGTAGTGAGAGACTGTCGCATCTATTGCTTCCATTTGAGCATGTTTAGTAACTTTATAATCTGTGTATTAAATTGTTACTCTAATATAAATCATTACACATTTTTTTTTTTTTTTTTTGTTTTTTATGAAATACAATTCATGTTATGTTTAGCAGTACTGAATCCGCACATTGGATTTAGGATCGAAGGAATTTTAGTACAAAATTTGAATTAATTTCAATTCGTTTTCATTCTACTCTACTAAGTAGTACCTGTAAATCTTATGTTTTTAAAATCCGAAGAATTAACTGATTATGTTAAAAGAGAGTCTTAGCAAGAATAAGCTACTTATAACCAACTTATCAAATTGGCATTGGCCCCTAGGTCTGGATTCTTACCAATACAGCACATAACTGTGAAAAAAGAGGAAAACTTCAAAATTTCTTAGAATGAGATTACCAGATATTACAAGGCTGTTAAAAAAATGATCTAGCAAAGATTTGTCAGCATAACTGTGAATAAAAAGGGAACAACAAGTATGATTTATTATCGGTCAAAGAGAAATGCTATCGACATTGTGACAGATAAAGAAGTGTGTGGGAACCATCACTTCACACCGTTCTATCTTCTAGTGATAAGTCACTTAGGATCGATGTCTCATGAAATATTAGGTCTAAGGACCATATCCATCTGCATACTTCATGAGCCACCCGATTACAGTGTCTTGGGACCCAATTCTACGAGAAATCTTCTCCCCGCTGAAGAAGAACCTTGATATTGCGAAAAACTATGACCAAAGCTTCTTTTGACAAGCATAAATTCATAAGGTGAACACTTATTTTAATGGGCAAGTTCTTAGATAGGGGGTCTTGGTTATTTTTATTAGTCTCTCTATTTCAAAATAAGTGTTTACCTTTTCATTTTTATTTGTAGTGTTCTATTCGAAGTCAAAGTGTTATTTTTTTATAATATTATCAATTTAACCTTCTTACATGCACCTATAAAAAGTAAATTATCATATCAGTGTGAACCACTAAAAATAAATTTGATAATTCTTTCACTACGCAAATAAAAAAAGAGAGGCTAAAACTCTTAACTCGTCCATCATCTTCAAAGAGTTAAATAGTCAAAAACAAGGGTTAATTTCATTGACACCCTTGAGGTTTGGACAAATTTCATACAGAGACATCTTTCAAAAATTATCATCACTCAGACCCCAAATGATTTCTTCGACACTTTTACCGTTAAAAAAAGTGTAAAATGACAAATTTACCCTCATTTTTTAAATCTATTTTAATTCAAAATATCAATAAACTTAAAAGAGAAATTTGCCCTCATTATATATATCTATTTATATTTTATTTTATTATTAAATGTGCAAAGTGTTTCAGTATTTCAGTATTTCAGTATTTATTAGTTGCTATAAAACTCTAAAAATTACTTAATAAAATTCAAATTAACTAATAAAATTCAAATTAAAATTTACCTAATAAATCTATACTATTATTAAAAGAGTTTCTATAAAATAAAATAAAATCTAATTAGACAAGAATAAGTACACCACAAATTATCTATTTTTATTTTCAGTAAAACTCTATCACATTAGACAAAGATATATATAAAGAGTTTATATAAAACTCTAATACAAATTACCTATTTATCTATTTATTATGAGTTTTTAATAAAAAGAAATCTAATTATACGAGTATTATTAATAAAAAAAAATTATTTATTAATTGATATAATAAAAGGAAATCTAATTAGAGAATGATATAATTGAAGAAAATAAAATAATTTATATAAAACTTTACCACAAATTACCTATTTTATTTTTAATAAAACTCTATCATATTAGACAAAGATATATTTAAAGAGTTTCTATAATTTCTAACACAAATTACATATTTACCACAAATTACCTATTTTATTTTCAATAAAACTCTATCATATTAGATAAAGATATATTTAAAGAGTTTCTATAATTTCTAACACAAATTATATATTTATCTATTTATTTTGAGTTTTTTTTAATAAAAGGAAATCTAATTATACAAGTATTATTAATATATATTTAAAGAAAATAAAATAATTTTTATAAAACTCTACCACAAATGATCTATTTTATTTTCAATAAAACTCTATCATATTAAACAAAGATATTGTTGATGCGGAAATCCTCACAACTCGGAACGACGGCGTTTACCTGCAAAACAAAGGGACGTCACCTCGAATGGCACCGGTGGGGTGCCGGCCGAGAACCCTCCGACGATCAAGTTAGTACTTGTAATCGTATCACATAATAATTATGTATATTCTCTTTAGGGTTTTTTTCTCATACTTTCTTTAACGGCTTGGTGCCCTATTTATAGCTGTCGATTGGAATCAGATTGATCCCGCAGGAGATCGGCTTGTGCGAGATCAGAGGAGATCGATTGTTGCCAGATTTGACGGGATAAAATTTACTCCTTTGACTTCCTCAAATTGTGCCAAGGTTATCCTCACCCTGTTGAATCGCGTCGTCATTCATTATCTTGGATAAGAAATATCATCATTCTTATCCGAGGAAAATCTTTATCTCTGATAATGAAATATGTCGAAGAGGTCTGACGGCTGGTTAAGGTAGGTTATTTTTCCCTATTAGTTGCCCCCCATTTCCAAGCTTGCTCGTCTAGCTTTGGGAATGTCAATTTTTTTTTTTTTTTTTTTTGGCCTGGGGAACAGTACCTAGGGGTACTATTCCTGCGGTACTGTTTACATAAACAGTAACTTTTTTTTTTTACCTAGGAACAATACCCTACAAGATTTTTTTTTATTATTATTTTTTTTTTTTTTCATTTTCTTGCCCTGGGAACAGTACTTGCGGGTACTGTTCATATGAACAGTACAAGACACTTTTTTTTTTTTTTTTTTTTTTTTTTTTTTTTCTTTCTTTTCCTTGGGTACTCTTCCCTTGGGTAATGGTTCCTGGGGGTACTATTTTTGGTACCCTTGGGTATTCTGCCCCTAGGTACTATTTTTAGCACCTTTTGGTACTTTGCCCCTGGGTACTATTTTTGGTACCCTTAGGTAATCTTTCCTTAGGTATTAGTTTTAGTACCCTTGGGTACTTTAACCCTGGGTACTATTTTTGGTACCCTAAGGTACTCTGCCCCTGGGTACTATTTTTAGTACCCTTAGATACTCTGCCCCAGGGTACTATTTTTGGTACCCTTGGGTACTCTGTCCCTGGGTACACTATTTTTGGTACCCTTAGGTAATCTACCCCTGGGTACTATTTTTAGTACCCTTGGGTAATCTTCCCCTGGATACTATTTTTAGTACCCTTGGGTAATCTTCCCCTTGGGTGCTCTGCCTCTGGGTACTATTTTTAGTACCCTTGGATAATCTTCCCTTGGTAAGGGAATAAATTGTACAAGCTTCACTCAGCTCGTCACTCCTTTAATAAAGGAATTAAATTTTACAAGCTTTACTCAACCCGTTCCTTTAGTAAGGGAAGCAGGTTTTATGAGTTTCACTCAACCCGTCCCTTTAGTAAGGGAAGTAGGTTTTACGAGCTTCACTCAGCCCGTCCCTTTAGTAAGGAAATCATATTTTACGAGCTTCACTCAGCTCATCCCTTTAGTAAGGGAATTAGGTTTTACGAGCTTCACTAAGCTCGTCCCTTTAGTAAGGGAATCATGTTTTACGAGTTTCACTCAACTCGTCCCTTTAGTAAGGGAATTAGGTTTTACGAGCTTCACTCAGCTCGTCTCTTAGTAAGGGAATTAGGTTTTTTTGTTAATCCTTCGGTAAGAAGTTTGTAATATGTTCAAGCTTCACTCAGCATGCCTTATTGATAAGGGAAATAATAATACAAAACACTTGTTATCATCCCTTGTAATACGGGGATATTGATTGCAAGATTCTTTCAGCCCGAGTCCTTATAATACATGATATTCATTATCATCCCTTGTAATATGGGGATTTTGCAACTTTAATAAAGGGTTAACTTTTACGAGCCTTACCCAGCTCGCCCCTTTAATAAGGGGATATTTTGCCCAAGCTTTATATGCTTGCCCTTTAATAAGGGAGTCAAAGTTTTTCACTTTCGTGGATTTATCCTATATGTTTGCCTTGCTTTGTGACTATGGTAGTAATGACCCGTCAAATTTGAAGTTCATGTGACTAAGCTTGGTTCCAGGTTGAAAAGACCATCATTGGTGCTTGATGGTTAAAAACCTCATGGGACCACCTTGGACATGGTGGACTCATTGTAAAAACTTTACTGGACTTTGAGTCCTTCCTGGTGTGTAGAGACTTTTTCAGAGGATCGGGCACTGGTCTTGGACGACTAATTTCCCCAAGGGGTCACTGAAAGAGAGAAGCTAGAAACCCGACTAGCTCGATGTACCAAGGTTGGTACGTCGATCTTCTAAACCTTGTTATCATATGTAGATCGACGATTGATATCGTGTGTAAGGAAGCCCGAGAGGACATGGGCCGGATATGACTTGCAAACGCGACATTTAGTCCGTACAGGTGGGTCAGGCCCATAGAAAGGCACTGCCATATGGGCCGAACGCGCATAAGCCCATCAAAGAGGACCGGGACTCATGGAGGAACGGGCCCAGATCCAGCAGTCCATCGACATTTGTAAATCTCTATAAATAGGAGAGGTAATGGAAAGAAAAAGGGGGAGATCTTTTTGGTTGAAATACAGGAATTCTAGAAAGAGAAAGGGGGAAGGAATTT